GATAAACTTGTTAGTCTGTTGTGTTCCAATTTACAAGTACAAGTGTTCAATGCCATGGAAGCATCTAAATATTTTCCTAATAATGTACAAAGTTCGATCGACACAAATAACTGCAAGCAAGCTGGAAACTATATAGAACTTAAAGAAATATACAATCATATTTCCTATTTGTCGACTTATGCTACAGAATATCCTTAAACGCAAATGTTTGGTGGCATTGCGTTAATTGGGGCACAACTGCGATTATTGCTTTGAACTGATGATAGATGAAGAAGTCAATTGTTATGGTGGTCCATTATTACCTGATATTCGATCGTCAACTAAGTCTACTAGCAACCCTACAGCCGCATGTGCAATGGTCGTGCGCATATATACACGGGCGATTAATGACGGAACATGTTCAAAAGAAAAGGAAAACCCGAAAGTTAGTAACGCTCAGAGTCCTACGCAGAATAATATGTGTTTTATAAAGTTTCACCCGTCATATTTGCGAATTTCTTCGCAAACTTTTTTGTGTATTTCATTTTCACACACTTGGAAATTTTTAAAAAGGAGCAAAATTTTTTTTTAAATATTTTATATGCCTATTTTATCAAGTGTCTATACTCTATATCACTTGTGGTACAAGGGTACATTAAGTATCTAAGGATGCATGCAACACCCAGAAGGATTTGAGACAAACTCACCTTTTACTATATCGATCAGAAAAAGTTTCTGTGAATCAGCTTGTTTGTTCATCCGTCCGTCTTGTTTTTTTATGTTCAATCTACAGCTCGCCATTTTCGAACTAATTTGGTGAAATAAGTCCTGCTAAAATTTATCTTACGTTTCGAAAACTGCACAATCCAATACTATATCTGCCTGTGCATGTTTGCACATTTATTTCTTATAAGGCACGTTACCTATTGTATTGAAGTCTTTTCTTCGTGCCCACGGTATAACTTAGATTGGCTAGAAAGTATTGTTGACCATATCACAGGCTTTGTTTAAAAAGAAAAATTTAGGGATCCCATCTTCTTCTTCTTTCATGCTTTCTTAAAATACTTCTTTCCCGATTATCTAAAATTCAGTTTGCTTATCTACCTTTACAAAATCATTTAATCTCTTTTCTTTCTTTTATTGTTTGTGTTGCTAGATATGGGAGTCTGTTACCATTGATTCTGAAATTCTCCGACGATTGCTTCAATACGTTTGCAAGAAATTAAGGCCATACTAAACTGATTTTTTCAATCTATATTTCGTTGTTGGTAGGAATTGGTGATTGCGAAGTTAATGGAACAAGAGGATTACATAAGCATAAGTGTACTTATTTATGTTCTAGTTTCTCTTTGTCCATGAAATGTGTCTGTGTAACTTGGTAATAGACTCCTCCATGGCTTTATAGTTACTTAATGAATGAATAAAATGAAATTCAAGAATGAGATGAAATGAAATTTTTCTGAACCAATTTTTTGGTCCAAGATCGAACGTTATTGAGATTGGTTCGGACCGGACTACTTATCCAACCTTTTCCAGTATAAGGCCTTATTTCGAGAAGTCATCATATGAATAACCGCATTAAACAAGGTGGTGTAAAGTATTTAATGCCAGGCCCTGTCCCAGCATACGGGTTTTTACCTATTTTTAAATAAATACTTTCCGTTGTTTTCGAAATTTCAATACTTTAGGCCTTTCCCAAAAACCACTGGTCGTGGATTTAATTCTCAAGTGGAATAGTCTTTTCAATAAAGCCGTTAGTCTTAGACGCTAGTACTTTAGAACCTTAGTCGTGAAATTTATTTTTCTGGCTAAATTAAGAATAACAACTGAGAAAATTAAATTCGGTCGGTACCGAATCTTTTATACCCATCACTGTTGTTGTAAAAAAGAGAAAAGCGAAAAGTACAATGAAAAATAAAATTTTCATGATCTATAATATGGAGTGGGCGCAGCTGATTTTTTCTATTTTCAAAATCAAAGTTTTTTCTTAATTTATTTCTTCAGAGAGAAGGACCAACTGTTATTATTTGGACTTTAACAGCCATAAATAAATATAAATAAAGGTTTACTTTCTCTTTTTGTTTCTTCCTTTACAATGAATGATTGCAACGCAAGCGATACGAGACTGTTACGTGAAGCAAAGCGAAAAGTTTATCAACTATCGCTCGAAAGCGACGTTAACTAAAAGATAAATGAGAAGATGATAATCCCTATGATTAGATTATTACTATTTATATGTCGTTCAACATACAGCTTGTACTGCATTGTTGAAAGAAAACAAAGCTTTTTCGTGATGCGAAAATATTGTATTGGTTGTTTTTATAGTGAATAAAGATAAAGTTGAATGTTAACCGTTCAAGTCCACTTCAAACATTACTAGCGTCATAACGTGTGATAAGATCAAGAGTAACAATTAGTTAACTGGCTGAACTAAGTTCAGAATTCTGTCAGTTCTGTCAGGTATGTTTTAGGAAATAATCACTTAACTAATTTAAGAAAAGGAATATAAATTGTTGATGATATGTAGAGATAAGCTAAATAGCGGTTTTTCTAGTTATTAATTGAGTAGCAACACTGCTCTTTCAAAAAACAAGACGGAACAGCTGACATGTCGATTATTTACTTTATTATCGCACTTTACGAGAGTAAATTGCAACAAGCAGTGAAAAAATAGTTGAAAGAAAAAAATATAAAAATATAAGTACTACTACATATAAATGTATGCGTGCATAACATATGTATACTTAAGCTCCCCTACAGCGCAGAGTTCTTGGCATATATTAATGTAAGAGAGACTTAGTTTTGTAAATTAATGCGGCACATTTTCAAGCTAGTGATAGTGATGAAATAAATTGTAACGAAATAAAAATGTATATACCTATATCTATCTATATATATAAAAAGCTTTTAAATAAAAAATAAATTTAAAACAAAGTATTACAATAGGAATAGAAAAAAGAGAGATCGAAAGTGCTTTCAAATGTATTAATAGAAAACCGAAAAAAGTGAACTTTTTAATTTAAATTAAAAAATATATATTGGAAAATTTGGTAAAGTATATTAAGTGTAATATATAGAAAGTTTATTTAAAAGAATTTGTTTCTGCTTTTTCTATATTACTATCAAATATATATTACTTTATTTAATTGAATTCCAATATAAAAATTGTTTGCGTTCTTGCGAGTTGATTGTTTCCATCGTATCTCTCACACTCTTTCACTCTCCTCTAAAGTAATAAATACTGAAAACAGGGTTGTTATTGCGCTGTTAAATATCTTAACAGTAATACCGTAATTTCCAGTTGATTCCTAATTGTTTCTCTGAGTGCTTTTTGTGTATTTGTTGCTTTGTTTTTTATTTATTTATTAAAAATCAGCTGTAAATTATACTCAATTTTGTTTGCATTTGCTTTTATGGTGAATTGAGTTTTGTAATAAGCAGATCAACAACACATTTATATTCAATTTATAGACATCTAGATAGATGTGTTTTAAAAGTCGTGCAAATCGGTTTAGTTAATTCGTTAAGTGAGAAGAATTTTTTTTTTGTAAAAGCAAAATAACAAATAGAAAGGCCGTTACAAAAAAGAATAAACTTTAGAGAAAAAAAGCAAAAAAAAAAAAGAACCAAGAAACACATTTAAAGAATTCCATGAAATTGGTTATTGGAAGAATTCTAGACAAACCTGATAGAATATACGAATCAAGAATATAGAGTGGAAATCCAGCTAAATAAAATGATGAGCAAACAAGAGAGAACATACAAAAAGCAAGCCAAATAGAAAAAAAGATTTCGTAATTTTTCTTTGTTCATTCAACGAAGTAAGACGACGTTTTTCTGCCAAGTGACTGACTGCACCATCATAAGATAATACAAAAAAATAATTAATAAAATATAAAAATAAATAAATCAAAAGAAGAAAAATATTGCAAGCAGAAATTTTCCAAAAACTTTTTCCTAAAATTCAGTTATCGCCCAGCAAGAAGGTGAAAATTACAAAAAAAAATATATCAGTGTTTGAAAAATAAGTAAGCTGCGTAAAACGAGTTTGAAATTTGAAAAAAAGAAGAAAGTACGTAATAAAGACACTCAGATCTTTACAATAGTTTCTTATTTTAATAAAAATTATAAAAAGGAAAAAGCATCAGTTATTTAAAATATGAAAATTTCAAATCACAATTTCTACTTTTAATGATGATCAAGGTCAAAGTGAAGTACATTTTTTGTTAACATCATTGCAGCAAAGTAGTTTAATAATTAATTCTATTTATGTTCTTCATAGTTTTAAGAAAAAAATTTGAAAAATGATTATTATTTTCTTTTTTTTTTTTGTATACTAAACTTTAAATGACTTTGACTTTGGTCAACAAGAATATACAAACATCTCATCGCAAAGAAGTAAAAGTAAAGAAAAACACAGAAGTAAAACTACAAAAGAAAATAGGAAAATCACACACACACACTTGCAGATAAACTACTAAAGTAACTACAATTATATATATATATATACATACGTATATACATATATATATATATATTAGGCAATGCTAAGAATCAACTAGCTATAGCTATCTGGTTCGTCAAGCTACTCACTTAACTAATAAACGGGTTTGTTTGTTCTACACACGAGTGGAAAAAATCAAATTAAAACAAAACAAAGAAAGCAAAAAAAAAAGCGCTCAACAAACCAACGGCAGCAACAAGAGCAACAACTAACAAAAGGAAAACATCTCGTTAGAACAGATGATTTTTGTTTTGTTTTCACTGCTGCTTCATTTTACGTTTGTTTTTTCTTTCATTTGTTAAATTTCAAGCTTGTCCTTTACGTTTTTGGTTTTTCCTGCCAATCGTCTGTTCTTTTCAACTGTGTGCGTATATATATACGCATATATATATAGATATATATATATATAGAATATATATATAGATATATATATATATAGAATATATATATTATATGCATATACACAGGTATATATATATATATACGTAGTTATATGTTTGTGGCTTTTATCATTAAACAAAAAAAGAAAAAAAACGTACGACACTTGCAGTATTCCATTGTAGCAGCGATCACAACAACAACAAACTCATTAGCTGATTAACAGCGATTGGATATTAATTTTTGCGAGGAGTTCTGTTTTTTTCTTTTTTTTTTTTTTTTTTTTTTTTTGCATTGCGCCTAAACTCTATTGTTTTTATTAACATTGGAAATACAAAGATAAAGCGGTGAGTAATATATTATAGCTTTAAAGGAATTTTGACTTGTTTTCTTTCCATAAGCAAGAATAAATCCGAATATTAACTTATTATAAAATAATGAAACAAAAAAAAAACCAATACGATGTTCAGATTTAATACTTTTACTATTACTTCTACTATGTTTTATTTAAGAACAAGTTATGCTCGCTGTATAATACTAAACTAAATAATCACGAAACTCAATGAGTTGTAACTTTTGGAGTGTTTGTTAATTTGTACAACTCGTAATAGAGATGAAAATCGCTTTACCAAACTTTACATGTCATTATACTAACTTATGATTCAATAAACTAACACTAATGATACCTAATACCTTAGTATTCGGCTGTTGTGTGAAAATGAATGTTAATAGTTCTTAAGCTTCCAAGTCCTATTGCTAAATGTCTGCATATGCAATTTTACAAATCGGTGAATTTTGATTCAGGGATCATTCACCCAATAACGTACAGTTTTTATGCAACTGCAAGCCTTTAAAGTGCGACTCGATAATATTTCCTCTTTCCTTGGCGTTTACATTCAACATTTCGTAAACAATGTGCAGACACAAATGAACAGAAAAAACAACTAGGAAAATTATATTCATCCACAAGCGAGTCTTTTAGACCTTTCACCGTGAACCGTCGTGACGTCCGCAATATTTAATATTTAGGATTAACACACTTAACTTGTTGCATTCTACCCGCCAAGGTCTTTTATTTGATATGTAAGAAAAAACGAATCCTCCTTTTTGCTTGTGGAGTCCATCATATTTATTTTACAGTTGACATCTTATTAGATAGATGCTTACGATGGGCTTATGATCCGCCCGTTCGGTAAGTAGGTTTGGTCCGGCCGTTTGTTGCTATTAGTATAAAGCATGTGTATTCGTTTCAGATCTACCCGTCTGCGAAGTGTCTGTGGGACAAAAATTTAAAACCCCTCATATCTCCCGAACTAGCTAACTCAGCAATAACACGTGCATCCGTCTCTACAACCTCCGATCCTCTTAAACCGGCATTTAAAATCATAAAGTCAGTAGTCCAGTAGTCAGACAGACAGAGAGCGTTATTACAAACTTCTAACGTTACATAAAAGAGATCGCGTACAAAATAACTTTCAACATTCTGTTTTTATGGTTGTATTTTTTTTTTAGTTTATAAGTAATGCAAAAAAAGACCAAATTGTTTTTATCTTTGAAAACAGGGGTGGTTTCAAATCATGTTTTACTGTGATCGTGTTCATCCAACATTAATCTGTCTACAAAGGTTTCCAATGCTTCTGTCGACAACTCCATTTTTCCGCTCAGAAGAGTGTTTACCACGAACGTTTCACAGACGGACAGACATGTTTAAATCGGTTTGAAATTTGGTGCTCATCAAGAATATGCCTTATGGGATCTCTGGGGCCTCCTTTTGATTCTTACAAACGTTTTGACAAAATGAATGCATTACTCATCCTTCAGTGACAGAATATAAGAAATATAAATATACCGATTCTATCAATTTTTAGTTCGTTTCTTTATCATCTTTAATAACCAGACGAATAAACGTAACGTATCGTATCGCTTTTTCGTTTTTAAGCCAACCTTCATTGATCAACGATGTATCGCATCGTTTGGTTATTTTTACTTCTTACCTTACCTATCGTCTTAAGTGGCATCCAGCCTACACGTGTCCGGTTCTATAAAAAAACAAAAAAAAAAAAAAACGAAAGAAACCTTTATTTCGCAGCTGGGAACCGTAAGAGTACGCATTAGTCGATCAACAACATATCTTATCGTATATCTATTGTAGTACAGAACACCAAAATACCTATTTGTTTAAACGTTTTTATTACTCTTATTAAAAGCAATTTCCTTTTTTTTACCCTGTAACGCAATATGGATGGGATGGTAGTTTAATAATTCTGTAATGTCTCAGAAATGCTTACTAAGTATGTATGATGAAATTATATGATGAAATTACAAATCGATTCCGAACACCTATCTCTCTAGAGAAGATATGAAAAACTATAAACTAGAAACCCATTTATCGGATCTAAACCAATTTTGAAAATTAAAAAAAAAAAAAACAAATAAATGTAATTTAGCTAAACTAAAAATGCATTTCACTATAGTTCGATTAGCCATAAATATATCTTTTGACATCGTTTAACTGATTTGTTTCTGGCAGATAATAAATGGTTTTCATGTATTTCATCAAATATAGAAATCCTACATCGCCTTTATTATTCAAGCAGGCGCTTTGGGCTTTTAAGGAAACTAATGCAAATATTTTTCTATATATTGTAAAAAAACTCATATAATTAATTAAATGAAAGTACGTAAATTAGGCTGATTCGGTTTGCCAAATGGTTAAAAAAGTAATAAAAACAAATAAGAATCTACATTGCTTCATGCATGCTTCTTATCTGGTAGTAGATAAAAGTGTAAATCGGGTATGTGAGAAGTTGAATGAAAGCATTAGACCAAATTTTGTTGTGCTAGTGATCTGTTTTGAGGGCTTTGTAAGCGTACGGGTTTGCTCTCAAGATAAGGGAATTGAATCTATAACTTTTCTTCGAGACGTTCGTGAGCTTAAAAGAGCGGAATGCAGTAAAATGGCAAATCTTTGGTTGAGTGAATGGGACAGGACCCTCAGTGAAATACTATACACGACTTTGTTTAATACAGTTGTTTGTATAATGATTTTTCAAAATAAATTGATATCGAAAAAATGATCCGATTCCAATCACTTTTAGGAACGCTCGTCTTCGGGCCAAAACACGTCAGTGTATCGAGTTTCATCAAAATATCTCAAAAATTACGACATGCAAATTAACGCAAGCACACAACGTAAACAGACGGACAGGCAAGTTTAGACTGTTTTATACATCCTCATAAACTTACAAACTTGCTTGTATCGTAGGTGATGCATTTCCTCAAATTTTTGTTTTTATTTACATTCTAATGGTTCGTATTTAAGTGACAACATACGATACGATACGATACGATACGATACGATACGATATGTCACTTACTAATCAAGTTAATAGAGCTTCACATTAAAAACAGCGAAATACTTCCCAGCATTCTGGCAACACAATCAACAAAGTATCGCAATGCAATCCAGTTGTAGTGTAAATAACGTACACTTTTTGTTTACGAACTTTGCGACACATATTCATAACAAAATAAAAAAAAATGTGAAAAGCTTGACAAGATTCTTTCAACAACATTAATCATTAAGGATTTTTCTTTGAAAGTACATCGTTTACAAAAACAAGAAAAAAATTAAGATCATACTTGAATTTTTGAAATACAGTTGAGGGTGTATGTCAGGTAACGAGGATGAATTGTTGAAATTGATGTAGCCGGCGATACATCCGGAATACGGTAACACATACGGCATTTGTAAACAGCGTTTCAGCTTCATTAGTCCACTTATACCGCTGATGATATGTTTCAATCGTTACATAATCAAATAGTTGAAAGTTGTATGCTATACTCTTACTGGATCGCGTTATGAAACTTCTCACGCGTAATACGCTTAAGAGAGATTGAATGCACTTTTTTTATATCACATTACTTATAGGTTTGTCATGGAGCTGACAATTGTATATGCATTGGTTTATTAAACTTGTGCAAATATGTTTGGATTGACCGATAGAATAAAAGGTCTTTCTGGGCGTTGCATACATCCCCACTAACTTAATATACACTTTTACCACACGCGGTATAGAGTGGAAAAATTCAATTGCTAAATGGTTCCAATTAGCGAAACGACTCGCCTAAAGGTAAGAAAAAAAAAAAATGCTGTAATTAATGTACAACTGCATCGGGTAATAAGCTGACAGGGTTGTCGTTAAGGTGAATGACTTTTCTTACTTTTATCGGCTTTTTACAATGAATAAAATTTCGCATATTTTTTCCCTTGCCCTCGCCATTAGTGGGTATATGAAAATAAGTTGCGAAAAAACACCGAAGAAAAATCGACCAATAATAATAAGCTGACAACGATTGCGGAATATAGGTTAGGTATACTACACCATACAGATCTACTCCCTAGAAATTGTACTACAAAACGTACGACATATAAACCGAAGCAGTTGATGAGTCACGTTTGCATTTTCTACAAAAATATAATTTGAAAATTGTATAACAAAAGCAGAAACAACTAAATGCTATTTATTTGTGTCTGACCAAACGAATATTGTTAGACGTGCTGCAAACTAATAAACGCAGCCATTACAAGTAAGGTAAGTTCATGCTAACTGAATCACGTAAACGACCCTAAATATTAACTGATTCGGGAAAGTATGTCGGTATTCAAGTTTATTATCTGCACACAGACGTAACCCGGATTAGTATCTTCGTTTCGTCACAGATACCTATTCGCTAAAGCAAAACAAATAAATTGCAAGCGGAAGCATTGACGACTGGAAGAAAGATCCGCGAAAGTGACTAGGAATGCTGTATTTTAACAATAGAACTACCGACGTTTTGTGTAAATGTATTTCTTACTTACTTCTCGATCCCCCCCATCCATCAAAATGGGAACGGCGAAGAAAGCTGAGAAATGTTAGCAAAATGAACGTAATCGGATCGCAAACACGCCCACAATAGACAAGAAAGTAAAACATCGATATATTTTTCATATGTTTATTCATAATTTTCGATCTCTTGAAAACAACATTTCCGGGAAAATCCTACCCAAATATTCGTCACGACTACCCGATCGGCTTACTAAACATTATTAATTTTAAGATGGTTTCTCAATCAACCCAACTCTATTTGCGAAGATATTATTTCTTAATTAATTAATTAATCGGTGACAGGATTCTCTCCAATCCGAATATATAGTTTAATGATTCGAATCTGGTTAAATAAATAAAGTTTGTAGATTATAAATGTGATTAAGTAACAATTTAATCTCTCTACTTGGAAGATATCAAAGTTATACGGACAGATATTATACAGACACAAAGAGATATACTTGACGTTATAACAG